CAGCGGCTGGCACGCGCCCTGCAGCTGCTGCGCCAGCCCGCGCAGCGCGGCCAGCGCGCCCGGCGCCGCCGCCTGCAAAGGGGGCACCGTGAACCGTGAGCCGGCACCGTGAGCCGCTCCGCGCCCGCCCGCCCGCACCCACCTCCGGCTGCACCAGGTCCCCAGCGCCACCCGGCTGCTGCTTGCTCCACTCGAGCCACAGCTGCTGCAGCTTCTCCTGGCCTCCCTGCAGCCTCTGGTCCATGCCCTGCTTGAGGTGCTCCACCTGCGAGGGAAGGGACAGCGCGGCATGGGTGGCCCGTGTCGAGGCGGGCTGCGGGCGCGGGCCGGCGGCGGGTGCTACCAGGTCCAGGGTGCGCTGCAGCTGGGCCAGCACGTCGTGGCTGCTCTGGCGGGCGCTCTGCAGCTTGCCCAGCGAGTGCTGCAGGGCCCGCTGCCGCAGCTTGGCCGAGAGCGAGCCCAGGCGCACGAAGTAGCTCTGCTGCTGCTTCTGCTGCTCCGTCTCGAAGCCCTCCACCGCCGTGGCCAGCTTGGCTGCAAGACACAAGCCGGGGCGCTGGGGGTTCCTGCAAGGCCACCAGTCCCTGCAGGGCATCTCCCCAGCACTGGCACGTAGCCCTGCTCAGCCCAGGGTGCCCACGGAGGTGCCACCAACCCCATGCAGGCTCTGGGCACCCCTAAGTTGCTCCAGGAGTTGCTGCCAGCTCCTTACCCAGCTCCTCATCCGTCATGGGCAGGTAGTGATCCACCAGCGACTCCGACTTCTCCAGCACGGAGCCCACCCCGCTCACCACCATCTGGCCCACGCTTGAGCCCATGACAGTGCTGACGCCGCTGGTCACCGCCGACTTGGTGAGCTCCACGCTGCCCTGCACAGCCCCTTTGGTCACGTCCATCACGCCCGTCACGCGGCTGGTCACCGCATCCTTGGCSCCGGCCACGGTGCTCGTGAGAACATCCTTGGCCCCGGTCACCGTGGATGTCACCAGCTGCTTGGTGTCCGAGATGAGCTGGAGAAGCAGAGACCCTGTGTGACCGCAGGAGGTCCCAGGGGACGCTGCCGCCCGCATCCGAGCGCGGCCGTTACCTTTTCCGTGGGCTGCTGCAGGATGGGCAGCTTCTCCTCCAGCTTATCCAGCCCCTTGCAGGCAAACTCGTTGGCYGTGGAAACTAGAGACAAAGGAACCGCTTGTCACCAGCTGCCAGGCTTTGCTGCCAGTGCTGCAGGGGACCCTGCGGTGACAGTTTGGGGACCTCGGGGCACCGCTGCCGCCCGCACTCACTCTGTGGCTCCAGCTTGGTGAGGATGGGCTGGGCGCCRCTCACGGCCGCCGCCGTCAGCGTCTTGACGCCCTTCTCGGCGGCGTCGCACACGGACCTCACGTACGGGTGGCTCTCCTTGGTGGACGCGTAGGCCGTGGACACCATGTCGTAGGCCGAGCTCACCAGGGGCAGGCTGGCCACCCGCGTGCCGATGCTCTGCGTGCAGAGTCCCGTAATAAGGCCCCGAGCTCATGGGCYGCCCCCTCGGCCATGGAGGGCAGGGATGGGGACATCCGCACGTGGGTCACACCATGTTCACAACGGGAGCACCCATCTCCTGGTCACCACCAGCCCGCCCTGGGGACAGGGGGCTGCAGGACGGTAACCTGAGCGCTGTCCCCAGGCAGGGACCCCCCAGCCCCCCCAGCCCCACTAACCTGCTGCTCCTCGGCCTGGGTGCTCGCCACCTCGGGGCTGGGGTCGCTGCTGGCCATGGCGGGGCTGGCGGGGAACAGGACCAGGGGGTCGCACCCCGGCACGGGCCACGGGGGCCGGGAGGAACCCGGGGCCGCAGAGGTCCCCACGGCCAGGACGCCGGGGCCCCCCCAAGTCCCCCGAACCGCTGCGGGGAAGGGGCCACCCCGGTGCCAAGCCCCGCGCGGCGGGGGATGGCGGTGGCCAAAACGCGGTCCCCGCCTGTGTCACTCTCACCTCCGGGACGCTGCGTTCGCGACCGCTCCCCCCGCGCCTTTATATCCCGGCCCGGGCCCGCCCCGCGCATGTGACCGGGACCCGCCCCGTCGGGGCCGGCCCGGGGCGGCCCGGGAGCCGCGGCCGCCGGCGGAGACCCCGCGGCGGGACCCCCGACCACGAGCGACCGCCGGCCCCGGAGCGGCCCCTTCCCTGGGCACCGCGGCCGCCCAGCGGCTCGGGGCGACCGGCCGGGGTCGGGGCGCTGCCCACGCACACGGGGACCCCGGGCGGGGTGGGGACCGGGGCGTGCGGGCCCCAGGGGACACGCAGGTGGCGGCTCCCGGGGCGGGTGGCACTGAGGCCCAGGGGGCAGCGCTGGCTCGGGCCGGGGACGCGGGAGCGGCGCGGGGGACGCCGCGGGACACGGCGGTGGCAGCGATAACTGGGGCGAAGGTCAGTGCCACATGGCCCCGGTTCACAGTTCAGCGAGACAYGGGCACCCGGTGGCACCTTGTCCTGCTCGTGGCCCTCCTGGGGTCACCCCTGCCCCCCTACACCGAGCAATGTGGGTGCCCCAACCCGCGGGGCTTGGGGGTCCCGAACCCGCCCCATGCCCGGGGTCCAGCGCAGGAAAGGACTCGTGTTCAGGCTTTTCCTTTACTTCCAAGTGATTTCAAGCTCCAGGACTAGAAACCCTGATGCTCCCCACGCTTGGGGACACCGCGGGGGGGACCCCAACCCCAGACCGCACTAACAGAGCTGCACACAGGCATCGTCCTTGTCACCGCAGATRTTGTCACCTCCCCCTCCAAGGCACCAAGGGGCCACCACATCCCAGTCCTGGGCGCTGGTTTTGCCCCCCTGGGGCACTTTGCAGCCCGTCCCTGCCCCAGGGGAGCCGGTCGAGCGCCGTCCTCGTGCGCGGCCGCTCAGAAGTCGCTGCAGAGCCGCGGGGAGCCGGGCGCGCGGTGGCTGCCGCCCACGGCCAGGCAGCCGTCCCACTTGACCATGTCCACGGTGCTGTCCTCGGGGTACTCGACGAGCACGGGCGCGAAGGGGCCCACGAGCCAGGGCAGGGGCGCGTGCTGCGCCACGTAGTCCAGCAGCTCGTCCACGGTGAGCTGCGCCCGCTCGCGGCCCTGCGCCAGCACCAGCGCCGGCAGCTCGTGCAGGGAGCGCGCGCGGGACGTGCGGCGGCGCTCGGGGACCGGCGGCTCCCCCGGCATTGCCGCCGGCCGGGACGTGGCACCGGTGCCACCCGGGGCTGCCTCCGCGTGCCCTGGCGCCACAGCCTCGATGGGTCCCCACGGCAGCCCCAGGTGCCACCACGCGCCCTGCAGTGTCCCCTCGATGCCTCGTTTGAGCCGCTCCGTCTGCAGGGACAAGCACAGGGCATGGGAGCACCCTGGGGTGCCGGAGGAGCCCGGTGCCGCGGGGAGCGTGGCCTTACCAGCCGGCGCAGGTCGGGGAGCGCGGCCAGTGCGCGGCGGGCACCGCGCAGCCCGGCCAGCGCGCGCTGCAGCGCCCGGTGCC